CGTTCAGGAGTTTGGAGCATTCACTTATTGGCGGTTCATGTGTTTGGTGTTCTGCAGTAGCTGTGCCTGCATCTCTGGAAAGGGGGCCGATCACCTAAACGTTTTTTACCCCTTTTGTGCAAAACGGTCCGTTACAAAGCTAATGCTTAGCTCTTTGTTACTATGTTATACATTTTTTTCCATATTTCTGCTAATCTTATGCTATTAAGCTAAATGCTGATTTTCCTGTTACTATGCCATATGCATTTTGATAGTATGCAGGAAGCAGATTGAATCCTATGTTCCTTGTTTATATATAAGACAGTATTATATTATATTATATATTTTAAGCTCTGGTATTTGGCATATCTGTGTATGCTATATTGATTTCTTTAAATATAATGATAGTACATTACTCAATATCGATATATGCACTTCAACTATATGACTTAACTGTATGACTCTTCTTCATATTATGTTTTGTTGCTTATTACATTTTGTTGCTTTTGTAAACCTATAGGATCATTAACTTGATGTGATGATGACATTTTTCTTTTGAAGAAGTATTATTATATTGTATTTGAATTCTTGGCATATATTATGTATATTTATACATACTGCTTCTATCTCTGATAGTTGGACACACTTTTTCACAAATTCTCTATTATTCGCTGATCACATAGTTATCACATTTTTTTGGGCACTCATTATCACATATTTTTTGCACTTCTTCCCCCTGTTGGATATACCAGTATCTGTCTGCCTTTGCAGCCTATATTTACATTAGAAAGTATCTATCTTTTCCTCAATTTATACACTGTGATGTAAGATCTATTTCCATGTCCTAGCCTAGATTTGAGTTTTTTTTTTTATATATATTCATCTTCACAATCTTTTCTGGGTAAGAGGTTACCTAGCAACCAACATTTGTTTCTTGCAGTACGTCATTACGTGATGACGTCACATGCGGCATCCTGGCACTTCCGGGTCGGAATCAGTCTGAAGGTGGTGGGAGTTCACTTGGTGTTCACTCATTTTATTGGTAAGTGATCTACTTTTGTATGTATATATTGTCACTGTATATATTCTGTGATCTTGAAAAAGACCCGTAGGGGTCGAAACGTTGATTGCATTACAAATGTAACTGAAGTTTTTTTTCATTAAACCACAAGTTTTTTCACAAGACCTGTGAGTGCACCCCTGATATTATTTGATATATGCTTAATGCGGGTGGCACCTAGGCAAGTATTACTTGATTGATTGATCTATATATAATATGTATAATGTCATACTAAGTGTATTTTTATATTAATATATACATGTAATTTTAGTCTAACTGTATTTTGATATTAATATATGTATATATATATATATTTTTTTTTTTTAATTCTTTATTTTAGTTGTGCAGGGTATTACAAATAAGCAACACACGCCACAACAGCGTGATCCATGAATTGCAGAGGTTAGACTGTGGCATAGAAGTGAGCACATTTTTATATTATTTATAGATAACAAGGATAACTAAACATTTCTAGTGTTAGAATAGTAGTGAGTGAGTATCTTTAACTGCGTTGGTGTGGATTACGTTACCATGTGTTAATTGCAATATTATTGGTTACTGTGTAGTAGTGGTCAGCTTAGTAGTAGCACTTAGGTATATAGTGTGTAACTCATGCTCGGCTAGGTCGCTATACTGTCTAGGTAGGGTTAAGTGAGTTGTGATTGGCTGTGTCAGCTTAGCCATGTCGATGCGGGTTTTGTGATGGCATGTTATGCCTCACAGTAGTAGCCAGGCAGTTTGCTTCTCCCAGATAGGTCACGCCATAAGTAAATGGGCTAATGAATGTTAGACGGCGCCCCACCGGGCCACCTGTACACCAGGTGTAGAAACCAGTACCCTATGGCATGTTTTGTACCTATTTAGGCTTGTATGTCGTGTTGTGCGGTCAGGGTTGTCTCTGTGTTGTTACATTCTATCATTATTAACATGAACATAGAAAAACAAGTGTGCATCCAAAACGCAATTATAAACTGTTATAAACTATGATCCCCATCGGGGGTCCTCACGGGCTGGCCTGCATGGTGGACTGCAAGTCTCTGGGTGCGGGGTATTGACTGTCTCAGCACACCCGGGCACCCCAGGGCATCTGAGGGAGTTACCGTGAGTCATTGTGAGGTCCCTTATGAGTCCATCTCACCGAGCCATCAAAGGTCTTGCGTAATGGGCTTGAGTGGACCCCGATTTGGCATGGTCTCCAGAGCGTCCAGGAGCACAATGCAGCCAGGTATAAAAGTAAAAGTCAATAGGAACTAAGAAAACTGGAAACCAAGAAAAATAAAGTCTGGTGTTGAGCAGGAGCGGCTGTGGTTCGCTGTCACCCCGCCTCCTGGGATAGTATAGAGCCGCGTGGTGCCCCGTGCGTCTCTGCTCAGGATGGGGCCATTGCAGGGTTGTTTGGCTGCCTTGTTATAGGCTCGAATGGCGTGATCTTTGATGGGTCCCATCGGTGCTTTATGCTGTTTGCACCCGCCGGGACTGCTGGCGTGAGAGAGTTCTCTGGCAGGCCAAGTGTTGGCAGCAGCTGCTCAGCCTCTGGTAGGTCTTTGACTGTGTGAATCAGGTTTTCAGGACCTGTAGGGCCCTTGGTGTGCGCCATCTGTAGGTGATGTCGTTTTGCCTCAGGAGTGTCGTGAATGGTTGTAGGGATCTGCGCCATTGCATGGTGTCTCCAGACAAGTCGGAGAAAAAGGTAATGTTGGCGTTTTCGAAATTGAGTGGTGTCTTCCCCTGTAGGGCCGTGAGTATAGCCGCTTTGTTTGTTCTGGATAGGAACCTCACCACCAGATCTCTGGAGGCCGCGCCTGGGGCCTTCCTCGGTGTAGGGAGTCTGAAGATCGCCTCAAAGCTCAAGGCTTTCGTTTGTTGTGGCTTCAGTAGTGCTCCCGTGAGCCTCTTCATCAGATGTGGGAGATCCTCCATCGGGATGTCGTCTGGGACACCCCGAATCTTGAGTTTGTTGCGGTGTCTTTGGTCCTCAAGGGCTGCAAATCGATGGTCTGTTGTTGCTTGATGCTTCTTGAGCGCCTGTAGCTCGTTACGTAGGTCCTTCATTTCCTGGGCCTGTCTGTCTGTGTGGGCCTCTATGGCTCCAATGCGCCCCACTAGGCCTGTCACCTCTGCCCGGAGCTGCGCAACGTCTGCCTGGAGCACCCGCTGCAGGTCACCCAACATTGTTCTCAGCATGTCTGTAGTTACCGATTCAGGTTGCTTTTTGGGTACGGGCAGTTGAGTCAGCGGGGTGAACATTCCGCTGGTGTACTCATCTAGACTCAGTTCGTCCGATGAGTCTGAGTACCCTGCCGTGTTGGCCCCTCATGTGTCTTGTGCCTGGCGGAATAAATCTCCGATATCGGGTGCCGATTTGGGCTTGTCTGGCTTCTGTTTCTTTGTTTTCCGTCCCATGGCTCTGGTGGGTCTTTGGGATCGATTTTCAGCTTGATATTTTTGCAAAACTCGCGTTTATAATAGCTGTGAATGAGGAGCTCGTTGATCGTGTGTCTGTTCCAGTTGGCTGCTAGGCTCCGCCCCCATATGTATATATTTTTTAATCAATATACACTTAGAATGAAATTATATATTATATTGTCAGTGAAAGGTAAGTTATTTTGCATTTTTCACACACAAACGGGACTTTCACTGCTGAAACTTTTAACACGGGTGTTTTTTGGCGGTTGTAGATTTGTAACAGATTTTCGGGGTCAAAGAAAAAGTGTGGTTTTTTTTAGACATTTCATCATATTTTATAAAAAAAAATTATAGTAAATTATATGTTATGATGAAAATAATGGTATTTTTAAAAAGACCATATAATGGCGAGATAAACTGTATATAATATGTTTGGATACAGTAAATGAGTAAGAGGAAAATTACAGATATACACAAACACTGCAGAAATGTAAAAACTGCCCTGGTCATTAATAGTAAGAAAATTGAAAAACAGTCTGGTCACTAAGCAGTTAAGATTGCAGGTGTTATGACAAAATATGAATAGGGGTAGTATGTGACCTTTCAAATGTTGAACAAATAAGCCATAACAAACTCCTCACACTTTGAAGCAGATGCCTATTTCACAGCATGTATCAGAATCAAATTCATTTTCTATTTTTTTCAATTTGACAGTTTTTATTTTGCCATATTCAGAAGGTTAGCGGTACAGAAAAGAAAGGGGGGGAGGGGTCACAATCATTACATTACACTTGTACAGCATTGTTTTACATCAAGCAGGTCCTTGTGATGTGATAATGCTTGCCACCTTGTTGTTTGTTGTTTGGTTGGCAGAGGTTACATTTTACACTTGTTAACAAAGCAGTATAATAACATTTGTTCATGAGGCAATTGTACATTGTCTCACTGTCTCCCTTGACTTTCTTGCCATCCCAAACATTGGGTTTCAGATATTGTGTAGGGAGAAGGTGGCATGTTGGTAGCGCGCCAGGTGGGCTCTCTGCCAATATGGTGGAGGTTTGGGAGGGCCGTTAGGTGTGGGGTGGCATCTGCCTGTTGCTCTTGTAGCCCATACTTCTGTCATGGGGTCCATCAGGGACTATTCTCGTTTTCATCTATTACAGTGTTGCCTTGGTTCAGTCTCTTGGTCTACCCCCTTAGTGCTTGGGTGGGGGGCTAGAGACATAGCAACGGGGAGAGGGGGGGAAGGTAACATATATACATGTGATTATTAGTACATATTGGTCTTGGTCTCTATTTACAACATCGTCTACCTGGTAGTGTGGGGGAAGGGGTTAAACATGTTTGTTTGTTATGAGCCTTTTCTTATGGTGTGGTTGGGTCATGTCGTGTTATGTTACGGGGTTCTTTCTTCCAGTGCATTCACTCATTCCCAGATCTGTTGTATAAACCTCAATGCAGTAATTGGTATCCAATGCATTTGTGTGGGACCTTTTTTTATAAGTAGGTAGCCAAGCTTCCTCCGACCTGGTGTGCCTCAATCCCTCCCCTCTGCCTGGTTTCCCATGGTGTTCCAGTATGTTTTTCCATAGTTGTCCGGCCTCAGCCGTTGTCCTCCTTTTTCCAATCTGCTGATCAGCCATTAACTCATATTCCCAGTTCGTCTGGATTTGTTGCACTAGCATGTATTTCATTGGGATATCTTGCGATTTCCATGTCCTGGCTATCAGGGTACATGCGGCTATCAGTGTGTGGAATAGTAATTTGGTGTGGACCTTCGTCAGGTTTTCAGGCCAGATGTACAGAAGGCACACTTCGGGAGTTAATTCTAGTGGCATGGGTAACAGATGGGCCAGGATTTCACTCGCCATGGACCAGTAGGGGCGAATGTGTATGGATGTCAAGTATCAAATTTGGAAAGGGTGGGCACCTGGAGGTGGCTCGTGGTCGACTGCAGGAGGGATTTAAGTTGTAGATAAGAAAAAATTGCCCTGTTTGGGAGGTTAAACTGAGTTTGCAAGTCTGGGAAGCTTTTCAGTGTGGTCCCTGTGTATAAACAATGTACGTTTGTGCATTCTGCACCCGTCCATGTATAATAATCAAAGGTTTGGTTTCTCAAGTATATACTATAAAGCGGCATAGCTAGTGATATTGCCCAGGGGCCACTTAGGTGTGCATGGTGTGCATCCCATGTATTCAGCAGTAGCGTAGTTGGCACTAATATGTGTGGCATCTCAGGTCTCTGTGATTTGGTACCCAAAATAAATGGTGTAGGCCTGCTCTGCATGACCAGTGTGACTCGATGGCTTATATGCGTATTTGCCACCGTGGATAGGAGCGCGGCCTTGTAATATCATTTTATATCTGGGAAGTTCATCCCCCCTTTCATGATGGGTTTCTTGAGTGTATGTATCGCGACCCTAGGTCTTTTGTTCGCCCAAATAAATCTGGTGATGGTTTTTTTGTAGTGTCATCAAATACTGTTTGGAGAGTGGGGTTGGGAGCGTACGTAACAAATATTGTAGTTTCAGGAGTAGCGACATCTTAAAGGCCGCTGCTCATCCGTACCAGGATAGAAAATCATTGCTCCATGATTGGAGCGTTTGCATTATTTCTAGAGACAGCTTCTCATAATTGTATTTGTGTATGAGGTGCGTTGTTCTAGCTAGTCTGAGCCCCAAAAAGTCGTCCCTCCTGTCGTCCCTCCTGTCGAAATTGAAAGAAGCTCTCAGTGTCTGTAAGAGGCATCCCAGGAGGTCCAGTCCCATTGCCTGTGTTTTTGTTAAGTTGAGTCTATAGTAGGAGACCACGTTATAGTCCTGTATACACTGCAGTAAGTTAGGGAGTGAGATGTTGGGCTGTGTCAAGGTCAGTAAAATATCATCCGCGAAGAGGTTTAGGGTGTAAGTCTTGTCGCCCACTCAGACTCCATGAATGGACGGGTTTGCCCGTATCGTTGTGGATAGGGGTTTTAGGGCCAGTACATAGAGTAGGGGCGACAGGGGGCATCTCTGTCTAGTCCCGTTAGTGATCCTGAACCTGTCAGAAACAAATCCAGAGTTTAGAAACCTTGCTGTTGGTGCCGACTATAGGGCCCTGACCACCGAGATGAAGTCCCCAGGGAGCCCAAATTTGTGGAGGACTGCCTCTAGGAATACCCATCCGAGCCGGTCAAAAACCTGTTCCGCATCGAGTGATAGCAGTACCCCCCCTTTCTTCGATGCTTTGAGGCTGTGCATTACACTAAGGACCTTTCTAGTGTTGTCTGCCCCCTGTCGTCCCGCCACAAACCCCACTTGGTCGTCGTGTATGATATGGGGAAGTACGGGTCCGAGTCTCCGTGCATATATTTTGGCTTGAAGTTTTGCGTCCGTGTTGAGGAGCGAAATGGGTCTGAAGTTTTGCCGGCATGTCAACGGTTTCCCTGGTTTAGGAAGAGTGATAATATGTGCCAACTGCATTTCCTCAGGGAGTGATTCCACTTGTATTGCTTCGTTAAACACCTCTGCCAGATGCGGAGCCAAAACCTCTCGGAATTTGCTATATAATAGTTGGAGAAATTAAAATGATAAATTAATAATAAATTTATAAGTATCAAAAACACCTTATAAAGTTTTTTATAACAACAATTAATATGATTGATTATAGCCTATTAACATTGTTATAGTAAAAAGGTAAATCTAATCGTGCTACCAGGGAAACTCAAGACTGCCATTGTTCAAATGGTCTAGTTGCTTTTACGACAATGGATTAATTACTTGGCCTATTGAATAGAACTTCACATGTACTGGTAAAATTCATTGGATAATTGATGGATTATATTATAGTATAAAGGAGTAGTAGATAGGGTACAATTAATAAATGACATGGCCTAAGTAGTGACGTTATTTTTATTAACACAAAGCTAGAAAAATTTACTTGGGACCGTGATTGAGGGTATTAAAAATGGACCTTATTTAACCTAAAGCTGAAGGAAGCAAGGTGAATTCTTAGTGTAGGACTCCCCTAGGAGGTTTGCCTTGATGTGGCAGGGTAGCTTACATCTAATGGCTATTGAAGTGGCACTAAAAATCTCCAGTTATGTAAATATGCACAGGGATTTGAGAACTCTTTTCTTATGTTTTTATTGTATGTATTGGGGCTATGTACTATGGTCATTGCTGCCACCCGGGAGTAGTGGGAGCCTGAGCGCAGGACTTATTTTTGTGTATTTCTAATATAAATCATAATGCTATGCCCCAAAGTGTCAAATATATGTCAAAATGACCCATGCTGTAGATCATAGACATTTTTTTTACCTTGCATTTTTATTTAATACCACCTTTAAACAAGTCAATACAGTTGACTGAATTATCAGAAATGGCTTGTTCAATTGTAAATGCTGTTATGAAATAGAAGCATCTATGAGCCACACAAGCCCAGATGCCAAATGAGAGACTACAAAAGCTCACAATCCTTAAACATATAGAACATAAAAATCAACTCCCACATTCCCTCGCAAGTAAAACAAAATGATTCTAGAAAAAATTAACATCATAAGAGCACTTTGTTAGAAGCTTCATGACATGAGCGTCAATGGCAAAACAGCATCATATAAGACCATACTCGAAATGCATATTGATGAGCTTTCTGTCAATAAACTCTGAAGCAATGATAATGAGAATGCATCATTATTACTTAAGCGTCCATTGGCATACTTCATCATCTGGCAGGCCAACGAATGGTTCTGGGCTCAATGAATTATAAGTGTCGATTGACTAACTGCATAGTAAACAAATATACAATCAAAATGACAGTGTAGTCTATAGTAAATAAACACCTAGTCCAAATGATAATCCAGTAAAATAAACTCCAAACAATTAACTGGAACAAAGGCACAACTGCAAAGATTGGTGGCAAAAAATATTTACCTGGGGATTTAATAGTTCTGGATAATCCTCTGCAAGATATGTTTACTTTAAAACACTCTTTAAAAACTACTTTAAAAAAATGTCTTCACACATTGCTGTATGATTCAAATTTTGTGACTGCACGGTTGTTTTCTGTTACTTAAAAATTGTTTATCACGATTATTATAAAAATGAAAGAAATTAAATAGCACAGAGCACTGCCTTAATCCAACTGTACATATTTTGAATTATGTACAAAGTCAACTGTAAGCAGTGTGCAATCACCCAACATCAGTGCCTTACAAAATGTATGCTTGTGTGATTTAATGGGTGAAAATATATGAAGCAATTTCCCAATTTATGTCAGGATGTAACAAACAAAGTGGGGTTTAAATCAATATTAATTGCATGCTCAGTCAATCTATATTAATTTGTCCCTGCAGTGTGTTAGCAAAAGGGTTGACTGGCACTATTAAACGTATTAAATTGAAGATTATCTTACCATATATGGGCAAGAAAATCTGCTCATTCAACAATATGCCTTTTCAACACAGATTGAGCAGGCGAGGCTATAGGTAAAACAGTGTGAGCCTTCTTCCATACTTTCTAGCAGTCCTGAAATATCAATATATAAAAAATAGGGGTATCCTATCGGGGAAGAGAACTGGTCCTGAAATATATGTTGTATTGACATATGCAGAATGGTTCCCCACACCAGCTCTGCTGGTTCTGGCCCTTTAAATGCTTTGACAAAGGATCTGCAGTTTTGCTATGCACTTCGGATGCAGAGTGTGAAGAAAACCCCTGTTTTATGGACTTAGTTAGACTGTTTTATTCCCCCTCCTCTTAGAACACCAGTTTAAACCCTTAATAACTGTCATATTTTCAAACTTTGTCTGACCCTCTTAACTGTCATTTTGTTTTCCTCTGAGGAGGAGTTGTTTTGCTGCATGAGTGCTGTTGCTTTTGTGTGCTGACCCTTGACCCTTTCTTGAAGCCTTAGCTCATGCTTGGGGGATGGGATAAGTCTGCAGTGCTGATGGTGTCGGCTGTAGTGCTTGGAGTCCTCGGCAAGCACTAGGAGCATCGCTTGGTGGAGGTACTCGGTCGGAGTGCCAGCGGGTCCGTCACATACTCCCCATCACAGAAAAAGTTCATAGTAGAACTATTGACATTCATACTTACACATAATTATTTTGTGTTTGAAGGAAAATATTATTTACAGCTGAAGCCATGGGGACGGCTTGTGCCCCAAGCTATGCTAATTTGTATTTGGGGTGGTGGGAAGAGACCATTTTACAACAAATTATTCACAAGAAATATAGTCAATATATACTTAAATGGCATTGATATATTCTGGACAAGATCAGTCACAATATTTGATAAACTAAAGAAAAAGTTACCTGCGCGCTCTCCTAAATCCTTATGTATATTTAAACAAATGTAGGTCATTTAGTTACTCCAATGGCCATTTGAAGGAATGCCCGCCTGCCAAAGTCATAGCAGACCCTCCTAGGTGGGTGCTACACTGACCTTTCACCTTGCTTTCTTGAGCTTCTGGCAAAGATATCTCTAATGAGTCAGAGAGGGGTATTTTTTATATATACCTATATATATGGATTAACCCTTAATAGGGAACACATGAGATGGGCGGCAGCATTGTAACAAAGCTGTGTGATACAAAAAGTGAATACAAATACAAAAAGATAAGTCATGTGCTCACTTCCATCACTCCTGGGCAGCAGCCATGACCACAGCACACATCAGCCCAAATAAATACAGTAAAAAACAAAGAAAAAGTTACCTGTGCTCTCTCCTAAATCCCTATGTAAATTTAAACAAGTTACTCATTTAGTTACTCCAATGGCCATTGGAAGGAATGCCCGCCTGCCAACATCAAGGCAGACCCTTCTAGGCAGGTTCTACACTGACCTCTCACCTTGCTTCCTTGAGCTTCTGGCAAAGATATCTCTAATGAGATA